AAGCTCGTAACTGATCGAGAAGGCTTACCCTGAGCCCTAACAGCTTAATGCTGAGTGCAACTTATTAATAACCGGTTAATAAGTATGATTGTTGACTTGACTTGTCCTTGTTTTTTCGTCATTTCAGGTGTGGAGGTAGTCAGGCCGATCATGTATACAGGTAAAAAAAATTAACTGTTTGTAACAAATATTCTGCTCTTCATTCTCCCAACAGGAGTGGTGGGAGGAGATCGGAGGACGAGTTTAGTCAAAGACTCTTAATTACCGTAACCTCGTTAAAGTTTGAGACTTTTTTTTTTTTTGATATTTATCTGTATTTCTCTGATCTTTTTAGTACAAGCTCCTTCCACCGATAGTGTTCCTTACAGCCCAACTCACTCAACTTCTTCACAAGAACATCCATATCATCCTGGTAAGTTTCTGAGATCGTAATTTAAATTCTTCTTATTATCTGCGCGCATTTTGTGAGAAGTTGGCAAAGTAAGCGCTTTCCCAGCAACGTGATCACGTTTGAGATAAAGACCGAAAATTTGAGATTAGTAAAATTAAATGATTATAAAATCGTCGATGGCGGCAAATGACGTACTTGCTTGGCAATCAAGAAAACGTGTCCGTGATCCGCTCTTAGGTCCGTTTTTTAATTTTATTTTTTACTTTTCCAGGAGTTACATATCACCAGTATGTCAGCTACCACTATCCAGATCAGTACAACAGAGTAGAATACGTAGAAAATTATGACGGTAGGTTATTGCTTTTGTGCTGAGTATTATTTATGACTGAAATGCTACGGCGTCTCTTATTGGTTAAAAACAGATTTTGGATTTTGTGGCAAACTGAAACACGCTCATGTCTTTGACGTGTTCTCCCAACATTCCGTTCGGGGTAACGACATAACGTGAAGAGGCGAGCCAATCGGAAGCAACATGTTCATTTGTTTCAAACAAAATACAAAAGCTTGCTGCGAAGAAAAATGTGTGAGCCCTGGGTGAAAAAGAGTCGAAACTGCGGCAAAGCTCCGATTTTGCAATTCCGATGGCTCGCCCTACAGCTCGACTACTTGTTTTTAACGTACTCTGCCATCAAGCCGAAACTTGCTGAGATCACTTGGTTAAAAGTATCTGGGATAAAAAAAAAAAAAAACACACGCCAAAGTTATTGTCTTGCTTTTGAATTCGTACGATGTTGTTCCTTTATCCGAAATAAGAAATTTGATGTTGTGTTGACTAATGAATGTAGAATGTGCTTCTCAAAATATTTTCTTCCTTGAAATAAGACAGTTGTTTTGATCTTGTTTTGATCTGGCTTACATCTTTTTCGTATCGTTTATTTTCACAGAAGAAGAGGGCCAAGTTTCCGCTGTTTAACAGAACATGTGAGGTAAGTTAAACATCCAATTACTTGAAGACATTATGGACGAAAGCTCTTTTTTTTTAATTTCGTGATTTAGTTCAAATGTTTTGAGGAACTGCTTTTCTTTCTTAAAGAGCCATAACTGTGTGGTTGGATAGAGAAATATCCCTCCTGCCTTCTGAGGGGGGGATTTTAGATTTTTCCATACTATGAATTTTCAATGTTAGTCTTAACGTAACGATATGCCTTTCTGAAGTTGTGTCACCTTTTTTTTTCCAGGTCTATGAAGACTTCCTTCGCCGATTCATCCCTCCCAGAAAACGAATATTTTATTATGTTTCGAGTGATTTATTTTCATGAGCTTTTGGTTTTTTTGGAGGCCTTTCTAAGCTTTCCTGTGCAAAGCTAGTTGAATTTATTGCGGATTATCTTAGACAAAATAGGCAAGAAGAGTTTCTTTCATTTTTAACTCTCAAAAGGAAAGCCTCTAGTCGAAGACAAACAGCGTATTTGTATAACGATAGGCAGAGCAGGCCGTCTGTCTAAAACTGCATAGATATATGAAATCATACAATCATTATTTTTAACTACTTTGAATCTCGCCAGATCATATATACTCAATGAAAGGGAAATAATGATGGTTGTAGCACGGCGCGGGCTTCTCTGGCAGTATGAATAGAAATATTTAAACCTTTGTAGTAGTCTAGGTAGGATTATGGAACGAAAAAAAAACTCATTCAATTAAACATACATTTTATTTTAATCTCAAAATATTGAGAGATGTACCTACTTCTGAGTCTACAAATTTTTTTGTATCAACTGTAAATAAGTTATAGGCTACATT